GTGGGTAGTTCCGCCAACCTCAGCGAGACGTTGTGTTTTCATTTGAGAAATACGATCCTTGATATTGGCAAGTTCAGGCGAGTCAGCAAAAATATCAGCCCAGTCACGATCTCCAATTCTGGCGGCTTGACCGGCACCAACAGCATCAAGCATCCACTCGGCAGGGTTAGCATCAGAAGGACAGTCAGCTCCGTGCCGGTGGAAGTAATCGAGGAGTACGTGAGCATCTTTTCCGATGTCACCAAAATAAACACATCTTCCTCCGCGTTGAAGAAGAAGCAATCGATCGAAGTTCTCGAATAATGCTGCGTTAGGTTGATGGATAGTACAGAGAATAGCCTGTCCAGCGTTTGCTAATTTCTTCAAGAAACGAACGATGTTGAAAGCACTTTGAGAGTCAAGACCCGAAGTAGGTTCATCCAAGAAAAGTAACAATTCAGGCTTGGCAGCCAATTCGACTCCGATAGTGACACGTTTTCGTTGTTCGACAGCAAGACCATTTTCAGGATCTCCAATAATGGCATCGGCCATATCTTCCATCTCAAGGAGACTAAGAATTTCCTCAACGTAGGCGTACTTTTCGGCTTGTGGAACGTGGAATGGTTGACGGAGATCGGCAGAGAATCGAAGTGCTTCACGGACAGTCGCAGTACCCTCGTGGACATCAAGTTGTTCGGCGTATGAAGTTCCTCTTTGGAAAGAGTTACCTGGCTTAATACCATCGACAAGGACATCACCAGAGATAACACCAATGTTCTTTCTTGAGGCCAAAACATCCAAGAGGGTTGTTTTTCCAGCACCTGAGGCTCCCATGAGTGCAGTCAATTCACCTGGTCGAACGTAACCGTAAATGTTGTTCAAAAGACGTAATTCTCCAGCTGGAGTTGGGACATCATAATTCAATCCTTCCCAAGTCAAGACAGCCTTTGAGCTGATGTTAATTTCCGAGCCTTCTCCGTCACTCTTTGTGGCACGACGTTGATCGCGCTTGACAGCCAATGCATTGTTGAGCTCCTCGCGTTCCTTGTTTGGCTTCTGATAAACTTTTGCAGCGTTTCCGCCGGCACCGAAAGACACCAACTCACCGAGGGTTGCATTTGTGAACAGGAAGCCGGCGATCAAAACGATGATGATACCGAAGTTTCTCCATAGTTCAGAAGGCTTGTAGGCAAATCCATGAGTGATATAGTCGCCACCAGAAACAATGTCTGATCCAGCAACACTGCCGGGCAGGGTACAAACTTGGTGCTGGAGGTTATCGTAACCTGGACCAGATGGCACAAGATAGGCACCAGTACAGGTCAAATTAAGACGGCTAAACTCGTTCTCCAGCAAAGCGGAAAATCCAAGACCCAGAGCATTAATCCAGTAAATCCATCTGATCCAGACCTTTTCACTTTGATATTGAATGAGATAACCGGATGTGATGACGAAAAAGGTAATAATCGTAGCGGCAAACTTGATCGCGTAATCAAAATCAGGGCAGAGACACCCGACTGTTCTAAAAAAGAGTGTCATGGCCAAGTAACCACTGAGAACGATAATGTAGAATGTGAAGAATGCACCAGCGTCTCTTACCAATCCGCACATGAAGTACACGATGATGGAGAAAATCAAAATCTGAGCGGCAGCGAAAGCAGTATCGACGATAATCTGAGCGATCCAGAGTGCGGATGGACGATGAAACGTGTACGACCTGTGCTTGTTCACAATAGGTCTGCCCATCATGGTAGATGCCAATTCTGAGAATGCTTGGAAAGCATTGAACAATAACGAAATGAAGAGTAAACCACCTCTGGTGAATGCTCCAGCAGAAGTCTTTGGCAAGTTAAGCCACACGGTACCCAATACAATAGCGACAGTAGTACTAGTAATCCAACCGACAATCAAAGAAAATTTGTCTTGCCACTTGATCAAATATTGTCTTTGCATCAAAGCCCAGATCTGCATGTAGTAAGGAATAGAATACACAGAAGATTTTGAAGCCCCCTTGCGTTTGCTATCAGCTATTGCAACCTCGAAGTCGTCATGGATTTGCTTGTCTGTGGCAACTTGTCTTTTATAAGCATCCATTTCCTCGCTCAAGCGAGTAGAGATCTTGGATTCCAAGAAAGCTTGGGCCAATGTCTCGGGACTATGTGGAGAGTCTGCAGCAGAGCGACCAGTTGCATACTCGCGCTCGAACTCATCGGTGCAACCTGTTAAGAAATCAGGTGTAGTTTGACGGGGCTTCTCCTTGAAGCCAAGACCTTCGAAATAGGCTCTAGCTTCAGATGTTGGTCCAAAGTAGACTTCTCTTCCGTTGTCAATAACCAAGACTTTGTCGAATTGCTTGTAGATGTTCTCACTTGCTTGATACAATGAAACAAAAGTTGTAGTCTTGTAGATGTTGGTCATAACACGAAGAGATTTCGCATAATCGAGGGCAGTCGAAGCGTCAAGTCCTCTTGTACTGTTATCCCAAGCGCATACAGTACCACTTGTGATCATCATTTCTGCAATGGACACACGCTTTCTCTCTCCACCAGATACACCTCTAACGAAGGCGTTTCCCACAATGGTGTTCCGGGTGTGACTGATGTTGAACATTCGAAGAAGCGTATCAATTACTTTTTCCTTGAAGTCGGCCTTCGACATTCCATGTGGGCGCTTTCCTGGCGTTTTGGTGTCGAGAGCGAAACCTAAGGTTTGGCCGACAGTAAGGGTTGGGTGATGAATATCGTCCTCTTGATTGTAGACAGCTTCTCCCCTGTATTTCTTCGAGAATTCTTCAGCGGTGAAAGGGCCATAAAGTATCTCACTAAATGACATTGTGAGCAAGTGTCTAATCATTTTTCAAAAGGAAAAAAAATTTGCATGTCGCAGTGAAATGCAATATGCAAAGCTTGGGAAATAAGGAAAAGAACACTCTTACCCATCAACACCATTGTATCCAAATCTTTGGTTTGCAATCACCTTCAAGAAAGTGGTGCAACCAGATCCAGGTCTTCCAAGCACAAGAACCATCTCTCCAGGTTTCATTACACCCCTGAAGTCTTGCAAAATCTTTGTTTCTCTGCCTTTCTTGCCTACACCAAATATATTCATTGCAGTCTCGACGACATTGAAGAAACTAACAAATGCATCTGGGAATGTCCTGACAAAATTCGATACACCTCCCGTTCCGCGAACGGTAAGTCCATCCCACACCACTCCGATATGTTTCGAACGAATGCCAGAATCTTCTTCTGCCTGTCTGTTACCTCGGAGGGTATTCTCCAAGTTGAATTGCTCCTCCTCGGCTTCGGCTTCGGACATGGAATCTGCTGACTTCTCCACGTCCTTCTCGTCGCCAGTCTTGGTCCTCGATCGTGCTCTGGATAATGCCTTGCTCTTGGTACTGATACCCGACAGCTCTCGCTGAAGTTGTGCAAACTCGGACTCGGCAGCTCTCACATCGATCCCCTGATTGGTACTGACGAAACCATTAGGGTTGGCGTTCCGTACATTCTCTCGTTGAATTTCGGCGTCTTCAATCGATGCGCGAGCAGTATTGGTGGTTGCGCTTAGAGACGGCGTCTCCTCCCTGTCTTTCTCCATGGTGGTGTGTATCAATGGTAAGGCTGGCTAAAATGCGTGTGATGTAACAAATGTGTGTAATCAAAATGATAATCACTGAGCCAAACAGTGAGTGTGATGTCCGCGTATGGACGAGATGTGAGGGAAGAGAAACAATTAGCAGTATTTAGAGATAGGTATAAATAATGTTGAAGGTTTTAAGGTTCAAAAATCTCGCAGGGACCTTCTTCATATATCTTAGGAACCTAACAGCAAAAGACTCGAGTCCCACTCGGAATTAATATCAGATTGTCAAGGTATCGATTAGCATTTTTCTGCATGGAAGGTTGAGGGCGCGTCCGCCGTGGCTAAGGATGAAATCCTTGTCGATCTCCTGCAATCTCATCTTGCCTTGCCCCCTTGGTGGGTGGATACAGAGTATGGAGGGGGGACCGTATATGCACGCGCGTGTGGAGTACTCTGTAGGAAAGTACCCCGGGCGGCGGGAAGGAGTCAATTTGCTCTCACCTGCGTAGAAGCATATTACTTACTGTACCCCAAGTTGACAAGCCACTGATGTCAGGATGAGAATCGGTCTGCTGTAGATTGGTGTCGTCGCGCCTCAGCATCTTGGGGTAGGTATTGGTAATGCCCCAATGCTCCAACGGTCGAACGCATACATAATTGACTTTCTTTGTATGCATCGATGTGACATTGTGAGTAGATGCGAGTCGATAGGAGTCGATAGGAGTCATGGACGGAGTGACGGTAAGTTGTGTTGCACGAGATACCTAGGGTAGCTGGAGCTACTAGATAGCTCCAGGATAGTTTAAGTTTAGTATGGAGGTGGAAGTGGGAAAGCAATGATCATCGCTAGCTTCCTGGGTCATATTAATCATACAGAGGAGGAGCGAGAGATAAAGATGCGCCACTTTTATCTCGATTGGGAGCGGTGGGAGAAGTTTTTGCTTGTTCCGGAACCCAATGTTTGCCGGTTCTGGTGGGGATTGGGAGTGTTTGACTCCGGGTTCCGATTAAAGCGGCGTGTATTTGATTTTGCCGGTAACTTTGAAGTTCGTACTTGCGGCAGTGGGTGGAATACGACCTAACCAATTGAAGTTTAGCCATGCGACCCATAATTGCTGGGAAGACCGTTGAGACAGCTCGATTAGTCAGCATGTCTCAACACCTTCACAGTAATGACTCGAAGCTGGAGTTAAGGACCTTGTTTTCTCGGAAATAGGACAACCGTCGAATGTCCGCTATGGATCCGCTATGGATCCGCTATGGATCCGCCACGATGAAGAATGGAGAAATATCCCTGACATCTGTCAATGTCACCCATACAGAGAAGGAAATTCGATCAAAGTTCCAATTGCGAGGTTATGAATTGCTGCACATTATCTACTGAGTTGATGCCTATCTCCCGTAGAACTCCTCTAGCTAGCTGGGCGCCTGGTAATTCATTGAGGGTTTGCTGCATCGGATGGCTTTGCAGCTATTGGTATTGATAACATAACCGTAGTAGCATTGTTCATTGCCAAGTCTATCTTAACAGACTGCCGGGTGGTAACAATCACTCCTTGAGTCCTTGAGTCCTTGAGTCCTTGACATATTGATGTCAGATGCATACCGCAACTGAAGCTTGGACATGGTAGCCAGCCGCCCGAAGATCTCCTAATCTGATTGTCTGAAGCCGAAGAAACTCGGTTTCCGCATTGCCAAGATGTTTCGTTGCCCATGTTTCGTTGCTTGTGTTTCGTACAATCTATTATTTGTCCACACCGTATTTGGCAGCTCGAGCCTCACGAACCTCACACGGTAGACGGTACGCGGTACACGGTACACCATCCATCGCAAGGGCTAGGCTAGCTTCCATTGTACCCCCTTCCGTCTCTGACTTTTTCGATACGGGTTGGGGTTGGAAAAGGAGTTCCCTCTCTCTAACCTCTGTTGGTGCATCAGGCGGATTTACGGAGTGAAAAAGGAACAAGTTGACATAATCCATAATCATTTATGGATCCCCAAGATTACCAATCTCACCATGGAGATTATCTTTATCAGCGATCTGATATCTGTGGAGAGATATCTCCACCGCATTGGTGGCTCGAAATATCCAAGAGCTTGCGAATTCCCACCCTTTTTATCAACAGAATCTCAACTGATTGATATATATGCGAAGGTGTTGAATCACTTGGATTGATTACTAACATCAACATCTTTATCGATAAAAGAAGCCTTGCCCCCCTCTATCAATCGGTGTTGTGAACAGCTTCACAATTTGCACTTGCGAGAACTTGGAAGTCTGCATCAAATCGGACTTGACATGAAAAGACGATGAAAAGAAACACCTTTCTTAGGATTCATCCAAATGTCACAATTGTCACGATCATTCGCGATCGACCAAAAATCGCTGGATTATATATATATCTATATATATCCAAAAAGCAAAGAGATTGTTGAAGCAATTTGTTTCAGTCATCTCAAAGTCGCAATGCTTCATTCTCCAACAGAATATTATAGGAAAGAGAACATTTTGACAAATAAGATATTGACATACCTTGATCTTCCATCTCAAATGTACACCCAAGCATTTCGAATTGTAGGTTATATCTCATTTTCAACTTTGTTGGAGCACAAACCTCCATATTTGAATATCGATGCAAAAGTTGCGGGATAATTTCAATGTCCTTGGGATAATCCATAAGTCCCGAGATAATCGCATGGAGAACATTTATTGTAGATCGCATATCTCAATACTCAAACTTTTGGTGAGGAGGTTCTCCATGGGCGGTGAATCTTTTTTACCTGGCATATCATTTTTGTGTGCTAGGCACATAAATTACTGCGCACACCATCATTTTCTCCACGGCCATTGTCGTATCATCTTCCTGTGTATAAAATGGATCATTTCGAGAGTTTTGCTTCGAAAGAAATGATCTCTCATGGGTATGATTCGAAGATGTTGCTACCATATGCACGATCCTGATTGACGCCACTACGCTTGATACTAAGCAAACGCTGGCCAATGTCTATTTGATCGTCGGATTCGTTTTCCCGTCTCTAGAACTCCAAGTGGCTTTACTAAAAGCAATTGGTCTGAATTGACCATCACAACGCACAACGTGGAGCAATGTAACATAAAGAATCCTACTGGAGTGATGCGCAAAGATCTTTTTTTCAAGTTCAACAGGAGGACCAGCTGGAGGATTGAATAAAAGCAAGCCTGGACTTGAATCTTCCACAAAGACAATCAGGGAAGAAACCACAGAGCTAGGCTTCAGAAAACACAACACAAAGCTATATTCTCATCCTTCCTACACCAAAAGCAGTATTCTCGATCCCTTAAGGGATACCCGCATATATCTCACTCCGCTGTCAACGCCCTAACGGACACCAACTTATTTGCCACGCCTTTCACAGACACAAACCGCTCGGTGTGCCAACTCAGTTTCAAATCCTTTGATTCATCCATAGCTTTGATATTTCAAATTTGCGCATGCATGGAAAACTTGAAAATCCGGAAGACATCCGATATACGTACTTGTACGACACGGGGATCGAACTTCTATTGCAATCGAGGATGTGAGTACATAGTTATACACAACTATAGCCAGCAAAACGTGATCTGCAGCTCGCGTGCATGGAAATTGCATGGTGGGTATGGCGATGCAAAGTAAGTACTCGACGGCGTGTCCGGTAGGGATCTATGTCCTCGGATCAGTAGTTGGGTTTTCAATAGGTACCTGGTGAATGAACGAACGGGTAGAACCTATAATCACGGGATTTGTTGACCGCCGAATTGGGGTGGTACGAGATTCCCTCCCGAGATGGTATGATGGAGTCGAAGAGAAATTACCGATTGCGTTTTGTCACTTCTATACCTGCCTAGGTAGGTACTCAATATTTTCCTGTACAGTATTGCAATTTGCAAGTTGCAAATCGGAAGAAATGTGTACTTCATTCGTTGGAGAGGAGAGGGATTTAGGATTTTTCATAAAATTATCTCAGGAATATAGTATACCTCTTTGAATTTCTCAAAGCTTGAAAATACACTTTCTGTACGACTTCACTTGCCACTCCTGGGTAGAAATCAGTCCACCCCAATATGAGGTACCAAGTACGCATCGTATCGTATCGTATCGTATCGTGTTGTGTTGTGTTGTGACTCGTGTCACAAAACTTGATAAGGGTGTTACATTACATTAGGTCCATGGACCTTGTATATAGGTATGTAATGTAGTACGGCCGATTGTACTATGTACTCCATATGTACATTCATCTATCCATCCTTTCTTTCGGCGCGCGACCCACTTCTTACTTCTTACTATTCATGATTGATATTTGAAGATTTCACGGTGAAATTATTTTTGCATTGTGGGTGGAGAGGGTGAGGAAGGGGTTTGTTTCTCGTCTCGAGATGTCTCCAGGTTGTGAATAAAGTGTTTCGATGGAGATTCTCACATGGGATTCTTTTTGTCTCGCTAGTGGGAATCGCGTGTAAAAATCAAATTGCTAGGTTATCAGATTGTTAAAATATCAAAATATCAAAATATCAATGCACAAACTCAAAATTATCGTAGGTACCTAGTAAATACATACTCAGTCAGTACCTACTACCCCAACACAATCCATCTGTACATCTGTACCACCTCTCTATGTAACCGAAATGACAGGCGGGAAATGCATCACCTTTCAAAGAACTTCCTAATCGAATAATAAATTCTCTTCAAATCAAATACTAAAATCTGAAAAGGCACAATGAAAATTCGAGTTTTCTTTCGTTCAAAATCAGAACTGTATATATTTAATACAATATGAAAAAGAGATTCGAATCATCGAAATCCTTCTGAATGGTACTCGGCTTCCCCCTTGTATCTCGGTTACGTAGAGCCCCTCTCCCCTTCTCGTCCCACACTCCCTCATTCGTGGTTCGTCAATATCCCCACGCATGCGTAACGCACATGAAAAGTATATGTGATACGTGTACGATATATCCCTTCTCTTCTGGTAGAGTCTAGGTCTAGGTCTTGTAACTTCGTCATCATTACTGCTTTGTATGCATTGTCTGTGGGTGTGGATGTAGGCTGCATGGTTCGCATTGTAGAAACGTTGTTGTAGGGATTGGGTATGAGTATTGAGATTTGAGACGCGAGATGGAGATGCGAGATTCGAGATTCGAGATTTGGAAGCTGGGGTTTGGGCTCGGGCTTGTGGTATGGAATGGGATGGGATGGGGTAGAGTAGTATAGGATTTACACTGAGAAAAAGCTTATTCGCTTGTTCGTGAAGGAACCGAGACTGGGATGGGGAATGGGGAATAAGATTGGGGTGCAAACTCCACACATACTGGGCTAGATTATGATACTGATACTGATACTGATTAGGTGGTTAGGTTAGGTTACCTTGATTCCTCTACAATTCCTATTTCTATTCCTCTTATACTTCCTAATAAGGATCAGGGGAGAGGGGGATCAAGGCAGGGAAGAGGAGAAAGGAGTTTGAGTTAGGTTAGGTTACGTAGGTAGGTAGGTAGGTAGGTAGTCTTAGCAAGGATTTAGCAAGGATTTAGCAAGAAGTTGGAAAATTGATATGGTAGGTATGTGGTGTGTGTAACATACTCAGAGGGATTTATTTATTGATTAATTTATTTCCCCACGGGGAGATCACCGGATTGTGGATTCTCAAGAGAATGAGAATGTATCCTGTTTTCATTTTGGAATACTGGTACTTGGACTTGATTTTTTGTGGTTCGAATATTTATATTTGCATTTGTATTTGTATCTTGTGTTATCACACGACACAAGATATCGACTCGTCTTCTTTTTCAATTTCTTCTTCTTTCTTTTCTTCTTCTTTTCCCTATTCCATTCCTTTACATACACTTACATCCTCATATCTACATACTCCTCCCTCTCCCCTTCTTCCCCCCCCCATCTCCCACACCAACAAAATAACCTTCCCGATCTTACAAACCAACAAAACATTCCCTCCCTCGAAAAAAGATGGCCGATCTACAAATCCACGCCAATCTCGCCATCGCCGCACCCGCCATCCTCATCCCCATCTGTACCGCCACAGTCGCATTGCGAGTGTACGCTCGTCATATAAAGAAAGTTGGGTTGGGCGCAGATGATTATCTGATTATGGGGGCGTTGGTATGTATTCCCTACCTTGGTGGATGTGGGTGTGCAGATGTGGATGTTTGAATTGAATTGGGGGGTTGAGCTGGGATTGGGAGATTGAGAGGGCGTGAGATGGATGAGTGGAATGCGGGATTGGGAGGGAAAGAGGCTGATAATGTGCTGTTTGTAGATTTTTGTGATTGGGATGGGGGTTGCTATTATTGCTGGTGAGAACATGATTTTCTTTTGTTCTTGTTTTGGGGGAGGAGGGGAATTGGGGATTGGGGATTAGGGATTGGGATTGGAGAATTGGGATAGAGGATACAAGAACTAATTTGTATTCCTATTGAAAGAGGTCGGACTCAAACAGCTTGGATATCCTGCATCGGCGCCATCGACTCGGATTGGGAAACCAGATTCAAATATCGTACGTCTAGTCATTCCTTCATTTCCCTCCCCATCCCCAATTCCCAATTCCCAATTCCCAATTCCCTCATTCTCATTCTCATTCTCACCCTCTCCCACTAGGCCTTCTGGCCCGGCGAGCTCCTCCAAATCCCCGCTCTCGGCTTCGTCAAACTCTCCCTCATCCTCTTCTACCGGCGCGTCTTCACCCGCAACGCCGCTCCCCGCTTCAACATCGTCACTTGGTTTATGATCCTCATCATCATCATCTGGACGCTCTCTTTCTTCTTCTCTATCCTTTTTATCTGTGGCACGGATTTTTCTGCCTATTGGACGAGTACTATTGTGGAGAAAGCACATTGTGTCGATACGGATATGTTGCATAATGCGTTTGCGATTAGTGACGTGGTGACGGATTTTGTGATTATCAGTTTGCCGGTTCCGATGGTATGTGTGTTTTTTGAGTTTTGAGTTTTGAGTTTTGGGCTTCTTGGGAAGGGAGAGGGAAAGGAGTCTCCCCTGAATAAGAAGCGATGCGTGAGAACGTGAAGCGTGCATCTATTTTCACTTTTCACTCTTCACTCCAATTTTCTTCACACACATTTCATTTTCTAAATCACTTCCACAGCGGCCGATTTCTCCGGACAAACAAAAGTTTTGTTGCACGTCTGAATAATTAATTATCGTGAATTTGTTCAATTGAATTTTGCAATTGAATGCGACACACTTACTAGCAGTTTGGCGCATTCTCGTCGCAATCCACGAATTGTTTTGATTTCCTTTCGTCTCTTCTCACTAATAATCTAGTCTCAATTTACTGACTACCTATATAGATCTTCGGATTACATCTTACTGTTGCTCGAAAAATAGGTATACTAGCCATCTTCTCCTTGGGAGCGCTGTAAGTTGAACTTCTACCTGCATTAGCACGCTCTTCCCACTTAAACAGATCCGACTGACAATAAAACCCCAAAGCACAATCGCGGCATCAATCGTTCGAATGATAGTATTCATCCAAGCCACCGCCGTGAACTACGACCCCCACGCTGATTTCGAATGTAAACTTCCCGTCCTTTCTTCTCCCTCTCTTCGCCAAACCCAGACTAACCCTCCCCCCAGTCATCTGCACCTCCGGCCTCTACTGGTCCCTCATCGAATCCAGCCTCGGCGTCATCGCCGCCTGTCTCCCCGCGCAATACGGACTCCTCAACACCCCCGGCGTGCAATCACTGGTCGCCTCCGTCCAATCCGCTATCTCCCTGCGTTCCATACGTTCCACCTCGCAACATCCTAGTCAGTGCGACGCACATGATTCGCAGCGCAATGTATATGGTAATATGGATACGAAGATGGAACCCTGGAACGCGGCCCATGGAAGCGAGACGCAGAATATTGTTGCGCATGCGGAGGGACCGGCAAGGTATGAGAGGGAGGGGGGGGTGGAGGAAGGAGGGTTGAGGGGGAAGAGGGGGATTGTGGTGACGAATAGTTTTGAGAGTAGGGAGGGGTTGGCGTAGGGTTGGGTTGGGGTGGGTGGAGATTTTAGGATGGAGAGATTGGATTGGGGATTAGAGGTTGGGTGTTGAAGCGATCTAATTTGGGTGGCTTGAGTTAAGTTGGAAGTGCGACTTTCGCGCTAGGATATTCGTGTTGCGATTAAGAGAAGGAGAAAATTGTTGTTGTTTTGATGCGAGAATGTACTGTATGGTTATTTTTCGAATAGACCATTGATGTTTGATTCCTGTTTTTCTCAGTATGAAAGAAAGGAATTCGGTATGTAAGCTATCTGACAATCCGAAAATTATTGTCAATCTGAAGTTCATTAGACTTTGAATTTTCGAATAGCCTTCGTAATGTTTGTAAATTGATTACTTGGCAGGTTCGATAATCTGAACGATACCATCGTCATTTGACTTCTACATTCACAAACCTCTCATTATCCATTTTTAGTATGAACTACCCAACACGCTCAACGGAAAAGATCTCACACTGGAAAGTATTGTAAAAAACATCGCTTATTGTTACTTCGCTAAGATCAAGAAGAGTTGGACCCACTTCATCCTCAATATTCTCTCACATCCCCCAATGTCATTATTCCTCAAGGCCAGCCTCGAAAATCGGACCAGCATCCATTGTGAAATAGAGAGAGCAGTCCAGGTACCCCTAGGTTTCTTATCTAAATCTCTATCTCCTCATCACCATTTCCCTCAACATACAACCTTTTCACCAAAATTCTCATTCTCCTCTCTGCTTCCTCAACTTCCATCGTCTCTTCTTCCTTCGTATCTTTCTTTTCATCCACATTATCCAAGTTCACATCCTTTTTCTCTTGACTGCAGTCCTTCTCTCCTTGTCCCACGCTGCTTCGCACCTCCTGGCCAACACTTGTTTTCTCCTCTATAGATTCATCCTGACTACTTGACATGAACCTCTCCGAAAGGTCAATATCCTGAACCTTAAGCACAACAACCCATTCTACCTTCTCTGCCTCCAACCACCACTCAATCTTCTTTCCCTCTCTCCACCACCCTTTCCCTTTGAAATCTTTTACCTTTTTCCACCACTTTCTCCTACCGAATTCCATGACCCTCTTCATCTTCAAACTCTCCTCTAAACCCATAATCCTCGGACCATCAAAAAGTCCACTTGGCTCTCTCGCCTCAATCGCTTCGACCGTGTATCTTCGCATGATATCATCAGTATAAAAAACATCATGACCCCCTCCACACAGATGGAAAAGTGTTTTTTTCCGCTTTCTCTCCCAGCCTAGTGATAATATCCCTCAAACAACCCTCTCATATTCGTCCCTCCACATCTTCTCCTGCTTTGATTTCCATCCTCATGCCACATCCATTCATTTTTCTCCTTGTTACATCTTGAAATCTCTGTCTGATTCCCAAAATCTCGGCGGGATGTAATATATCAGACGATGATGACCATTCCTTCATAATGTATTCTGGTCTGCCTGGCCAGAGCTTGAGGTCGCACCAAAGCCATGTCCACCAATTTTGCTCTTTATGGGCAGGTACATGGTGGAGAGTCCATGTCTCGTAGTGGATTTTGTTTCCCGTATTCTTTTCCGGGTTGGTTGAAGTTGTATCATTTACTGCAGTTTTTACGGAGGCAAGGGAAGGTGTGTATTGAGGTGGTGCTTTGGAATGAGGATGATGAGGAGCGATAGGTTTATCGTTGGTCTCTCCCGTCCTGTCGACGAGTTTCTCATCGCATTCCTTCGCTGGTGTTTCATGCCCTTTTCCTGGAACAACAATCAAGGCAAGATATTGTTGATAGCCAATCGGATCAAGACGTTCATATGTCTTTTCCAACTCACTGACTAGATCTGGTGAGATGTATAAAACAGACGGTCTTGGGTAAAATGGATAATTTTCTCTACAAGTCTTGTTTCCGGGCCTACAGGAGGTTCATTCCAGAACATGCAAGTATGAAAGTGAAAATAGACATACCCAAAAGCTTTCAAACATCGTACCCCTTTAACGAGCACCAGGCATAAGTCGCACATGCTATCCAGATTCTCGGAAAATCCTTCTATCTGAATTGGGAGTCTGATCATCTTCCATGGTTCTAACCAATGCCACCACATTCTTGCCGCAACTTACCACGGCCTTGAATTCTCCGACCAATGGCTCCCAGACTTCCTTGTTGAATGTTGTTTCTTCTGATTCCAAAAGGTTTATGATTATAATCATAAGACTCAAACTTTCAAACAAACCCAAGAATTGCTCTCGCTCATCTGGCAAGTTGACCTAAAGAAACCTCGCCGCAAGAGTGCCGATAACTTTTACCAGCTCGTGAAGAAATGTAGATACAGAAGTATTGGATGGAGAGATTTGGAAAGGACTTGTCGGAGAAGAAGATAAATCGCCATTGTTTGCCATTGCTGCAGAGGAAGGCAAATGGCCAGAGTCTGACGAAACTACTTCGTCAGAAGAGGAAGCCACACTTATGACCTATTGATTCCAGATATTTTGGCTTCAACTATCAAGTATAGTATCGTTATTTCGTGATGATACCCTGATATTCCGTCGCCAAAGAACAAAACAACTCCAGAAACCCAGAAACCCAGAAACTAAGATCCTCTTAACCTTCCTTCCACACACACCAGCTAAGAAAGCACGCTAGAGAATCATGCCATCAAAAATGGCAGGATTCAAAAATCATGTAACAAACAAACAGTGAATACACCTAACAGAGTGCCTCGGCAGATTACCTCTACAACTAACAAGAATCACAGATCCACCTGGGCACTAACACATATACCATTAAAATAAGGCTGAGCAAGACCCATCTCAACCATTGCCCCACATATGATCCTTATAACACGCTTACCCCCGAAGGATCTTGACTAGGATTTGAAGTTAGAATGGTAGCGATGAATTTATATTTCTTCATTGTTAATACATTAATTCGTCTTAGAAAAGAGGGTAGGATATTTCCAGCTTATTGATTGCCACTACTGAAATATATAAAACACGGGAACTGACTGGCATGTATATATCATTTGAATATTGATGACCACGAATGGGTAATTTCCAAGTCCCAACTTTGGGAGGAGACATAAATTTCGGCGAAATCAGTCACAGTTAGATTCAGAGGCGGGAAATTAATGAGTTTCTCGTCCATAACGCTGAAAAGTAATGTATTTTTCGCTAAACCTAACAAGTACACCGCTAATGGCTATAATTCCATCAAATGCATTACCTATAGCCCATTTTTATCTACCATGCTTTCCATTAATTTCTATCAACCCCCATTCTAATTGCAGTATGTATCAATCATTTAGTAGGCTCCAAGGCCTGCCACCCCCCAATATCATCGTTATCGCCCAACAAGTCAAGTGGTCTTTTCGGCAACTCTGGCTTTGCCCCTTCATCGTCCAGCTTTCTTCCAGGTCTTCGAGGTTGTGGTGGCGGGGGTGGTTCCAAACTGCTTTTATCTATACCAGAAGTAGCTCTCCGAGTAGGCGGCGAGAAATCTCTATATGCACCAGGCATAGGTGGCGGATCTTTCGATCTTGGAGCCAACGAAGAAGTTGAGAGGGTAGGTGAAACGGAAGTAGATGCTAAATGTACAGGTTTTCTTGGAAGAGGCGGTGCTTTCTTGTACGATGAGCGTGTTGTTTCGGTGGATGCGCGGCGTGTAAGTTGAGGTGGGGGGAGGACTGGTTTTGCTATTGTGGTCGGGGTCGGAGTCGAGAGTTTGCTCGCTACTAGCTGTGGTGGAGGAAGTACTGCTTTTGCAGACAGAGTTGGAGTTGAGGAATTACCCTTTATTGGATTTCCAAGTCTGCCTTGGGAACTAGGGAGAGAAGAAGAATCAAAAGGAGGCGGAAGCTTTCGTAGTACACTGCCATTTCTTACCACAGGTGCCGGTGGAAGAGACATTCTCTGTGAACTATTCCGTGAAGACATGCCAGGTCTTGAAACCTTGACCCAGTCAGGTTCATCGCTCACACTCCACGGGTTGCTCGGTCTCCTTGGATTTGGTATCACGTCCTTTGAATTGCTCGGCGGTTGGACTTGGCTCTTCGCAAGCTTCCCTCCGTCAAGCCACCATTTTCTCTCACTCGAGCTTGCAGGTGGTAAACCAGGCTCTAGGCTCTCGAATCCAATCAAGTCCTCGTCGTCAGTTCCATCCAATTTTGAACTAGCTGTTGCGCCGCCAATCTCCTCTCTCCTCCTATTGTAAATGCTTCTACTGAGAGAATCACGGATAGCGTCGTCTATGACACTCACAGTGCACTGGAAATTTGCATATACAGGTCTGTGGTCGGAAAACCGTAGGGGCGCGGTGTTGTAATTAATTTGACGTAAATTGCTACCTTTCCGTAGGATTCGATCGGTCCATGCCGGAATTCTGGCCTTTTCACTAGTATCGTATGTATCGGTACCAATGTCAAATTTATATGTTGGCATAAAAGTGATCCTGGACTCGGAATAGTATTGAAATGTTAGACCAGCTACCATTTGGAGGTTTAACTATGCTGCTGTTAGCGGGCTTCCAGTTTGTTCTGAGCGGCGGAACTCACCTGATCATTTTCGTATAAAGTCTCCAAGTCGCCCATTTTTATGAGTTGCTTCACCTAAAAGCATGTCAGAATCAATGTCGAGCTTGTAGAAAAGTTTACTCACCCGCTCAGGTCCAAGTCCTATCCGATAATTGAAGTCGCCCATCCAAATAACCGTATCTGTAATAGTATTAGTGGACAATTCTTTACAATCATTTGGATCAACTTTCCATGATCATCTATGCCCCGGTTTCTTTGAAACCTCAATCCTTTGTGGATGGTGTGATAATCCTTATTACGGTCTGCATAGTTACTAAACCCAGCAGCTAGATGTGCAGTCACAAAGCAAATCTGAGTATTTGCATAATCCATGCGGATTGAAACAGCGCCTTTGTTGCCAGCCATCCCAGACATTCCAGTCTTCTTGACGCTGCCTTCAACGTTCTTGATATTTGGCAAAACTGAAGCTTTAACGAATACACATAGGGCAGCTCCCACAAGCTGACCACTTCGTAGCAGCACGTAGTGATCTTGACCAGCTGCACGAGCATGTCTGTTTAAAGTCTTTCGCACGGCTTTTTCCCATGCTTGTTTTATTGTTGGATCACTATTCATAATTTGCTGGGGGCTCAATTCCACTATTTCTTGGAAGCCGACCACTACTATTTCAGGATGCTGCTGTGATTTTTCGAGCTCAGGACATAACCACAAAGCCAAGTCTTCTTCTATACCAGATGTGCGCCCATTAAGATTGAAACTTCCAGCCCATCTAAAGCGTCAAATTAGCATATGGTGCGACAATCAAAAGGATAGTAGACTTACATGTTTATCACCTCAGAAGATTGGAACTCCGAGCTACGTTTGTTTAGCTCAGCCGTCACGTAGTCATTAATGGGATCGAACAAATGCACAGGCACTTGTCCCACAAGTCTGCCCAAGAGTACATCAATAGTGTTTTGTCGTCCCTTGTCCACAAAATTGTTCATGTATAACCGGGTAGCACTCTTTCGTGCATCGGCGAATACACCGGAGAGAGTCTGCTTATTAAATCTCGTGTACGATGATTTGAGAGCTCCTGTACCTGCATATATTCGTGAAAGAGCATCGCCATTATCAGCCCACATTGTTGAGTGACGCATCCAAAACTCGGAAGTGCCTCTAGCCCCCCTATGCAAAAGAAACGACTCTACTGCCATTTGAGATATGATAGTTTGAATAAGATTCGTCCTGTCCAAGCAGTCGAGGCAGTTGGTTCTAAATACGCCTTCTTGTTGTAATACGACCACTGTTCTTCGGGGTTGGTTCTCAGGAACATCTTCCGTGTCATCAATTTCTTCAGACAGATAATATGCAAAGCCATCTGCTGAGTTCTCAATTATACTTCGAATCATGCTAGCTGCCTGGTAACCTTGAGGTCCCTTCGTCTCGGCGTGAAAATCATATTCTGTGACCCTCAACAATTGATGATCTTTGGCGTTCTCTTCTGTTTTGTTCAATGACGAATGATTAATTCCATATTGATAACAAGCAGTAATTTCAGCTTCAGCTGGTTTGGTTTCACTGAGCAGATTGACCACATGAACTGCGCCGTAGTTACGCTCCAATTCCTCAAAGTGTTTGTCAAAAGCTGGCTGAGTACCCTGAGGAGATCTAGTTACAGTAACCTTTTGTTGGCCTGGAAGTAAACCAGGTGCCTGCTCGAAAAATATCGGGGCACTTCCTCTTATTTGGGCATATGAAAAGCATATGCCAGCTGGTTTTTCGTCTGCTTGTTCTGAAGAATATTTTACATTGGCAGAGGGGCTCCAGTAAACTGTTTCTGATTCGACGAAGTTTGCGACATTTCCATCATCATCAATTCCTCGAGCATTAAACCTTGTGCCGGCTCGTTTACACGATAATCGGGATATTAATGTAAGAGACGAGGGGAGGCCTGATCTTGAGGTTCGTAAAGGATCTGAAGCAGGAGGTATAGTATTCGTCTGAACATGACCGCGAATCGCAGATATAAGAATACCAGATTTGTCCAAGGCGTCTCTTTCACGCACCACAAGGCGAGATCGGAATTTTCCCAGGGAACCAATCATATATGAATTCCATAGGAAAGAGTCGTCGAAACTCTCAACATCGTTTGCTGTTGCATCTGTAGATCTGCAATGTATAAGAGTTTGACATCGTGGGTATGTAAACTTTGCTTACCGGTCTTGCAATCGATTCGTAAGGTCGAAATTTGTGCTATAATAGAAGGTTCCATCTGCCAATAGCCTCTGCAGCTCAGCACATGGGTGCTCCACGATTGGGTCCCGTCGACTCAAATTTTGGCCATATGTGTTCTCCGCGTTGTAATTATAGGGATCCAAATCGTTCATAAAAGTGTTGTCGTACTCCGCATTGTTCAAGCAATGGAATTCTACCCCTATAATCTTTTCAACGGTTTCTCTAGGCCTCACCTGTGCCACTATAGTCCTTGCTGTTATTACGCAAAGGAAGATATCATTGCTGACGGTAATTAACCCAAGTGTACCATGGACTGGCATAAGACTCAACGTCCGGTAATCGCTGAGATCAACCGACGAGACATCTGCGAACTCTACCATGCACTTGGGAGCTGTAACTCCGTCGGCAGATGCACGCGGATGTACTGGATGAATGGGATTGGGCAATCCATTGCCCAAAGATTCATTCGTAGAAGGACTATGGCGGAAAATAAGAGTGTGGGTAGGCGTCACAAGGGCAATTGAGCGATGGGGATATTCGCGGAGAAGAACGCGAATAGACATAATTGAAAGCTGATGAATGAAATTGGTTCAAGTACTAATACTGAGTAGCATTTTGATATCTGGCGATATCATGAAATCATTGCTGTTTGGATGTACGATACACCAAGAACGACTCTCTCGGAGATCTTAATAATGAAGCTTTGGCTTGTGCTCAGCAGCAATTGCCCATTAATTAAAATCTTGCATGCCCGAGAAATCGTGTGATTATGTAATTGCTTCTACTACATGGTGATCACGTGAGACAGAGTTGGAAATTCCACTTGACCGTTTCGTTGTTTCTTCGACACTTTCAAAAGTCCTCATTGCCAGAGCTGTTGCTCCAGCACCTTTTCAAGAATGGATCAAGGAATGGTAACTTATAAGAGGATCAAACTGGGTTGGTTCTCTTGGAAACAAATCCAGGCTTGAGGCTGTGGTGCTAGCAGTGCTATATCTCAGAAAACCTAAAACTCGCCTTCGCCACAACTTACCTACACTACCTGAAAGACTTGAAAAGTTGAGTTACATGGCTCACGGACATGTTATAGAATTTGTATCCACGTGCATGAGTGTAGTACTCAAAGCTGGGTTCTTTGCAATTTGTACGAGCTGTGATGTCCGAGAGTTTGGAATTCACCGAGTCTTGTGGTCGGGCTGAAGTTAATACCGATCCATTGACAATGAGCTCTTCAAGCCACCTGATGAGCCAAGCAAGTTAAGCTTTTTGTTTTGCCAATAGCTATGCTACCTTTTCTGTACCGCGCCCTTCATGTCCAACTCCGCACTCTTTCACCATCAACATCAAATAAAGCAAAGTGTTCCTAAGGCAGACAAATTAGCCCTGCTGTAATGCCGTCGCCCACTCTTCTAAACGGAGCTGCAAGATCGTCAATTTCCTTCGGAGATCTTTGTGGGCTTGTGCTTTGAAACAATTCGTGGGGGGTGCATGTTGGGGAAAATGAAATAAACGTCCCTGCTTGTCCAATCCAAACGGTGGCTGAAGTTGTATATATACGAACTCTCCATGTCAGTGGTATCGAGGCTCGGAAAGAAAGCAACATTGATTCCACAATACGAGCATGTTGAGACGGAAAGGGAGAAACTTCACGTATTGTAACATATAGTACAACATTGTTGGTATCCTCGTCGCAGGTCAGAGATTTGATTTGAACTTGATATCCGTAAGCCATTGACAAGTCCCAGCCACGACTTCCTCGGAATCCCTCATGCCGAACTTTTCATTAGGCATTCATGTAGTACTGAAATAATAACCCATTATCATACTACCATTGTGCTAGAAGAGGTCTGCTTTCTGAGATGTGTACATCCATCACTACCGGTATAACAATCGAATTCTTGATCTCTGATTGTGTAAGAAATATACATAATGGAAGAGGCGTTTTGGCGCCTAGTGTTACCGCTACAGTGCTGACACTTGCTGACGACGTAGGAATGTTGTCTGAAGATTGATGCAATATTATCTTTGGTGGTGCTAGGCATTTTCTGCACGTCTCTTTAATGGGAATGAATGAAGAATGTCTAAATGGAAACCGGAGAACCTTATGAATATGCCAAGATATTGAAGAAAATTATTGAAATTATATGAGCGATACCCTCATTGACGTAATGCATCGTGAATAACATCTACTTAGATAGATTGAGGAATTTAGTGAAACTCATGGAGTGGTTGACAGAATGACAAAGTCACAAAGTCTTGAAGGTTCGTAAAAGTGGCAAGGAGATTATGAGTTTCTTTAGGAGCCTACTCCGTTCGGCTGTACCCCTTCATTTTGTGATGCTCGTATTTTCGAACATCTTTCGTTGTAAAATCAGAATAATTTTTTCCTTGAGTGACGATTAATTTTCTTCAATACTAGATATGAGCTCATACATATCAGTATACGAATAGTCAATCCATTCGATTTCATTGAACAATCAGTATATATTCTTGCTTCGGAGAATTCAGTACGTGAAGCCTTAAATCTAGAACAGGAGAAAGTATCAATTGTGGTGGAGAATTTATTTGCTGGGTGCACCGATGATGGTGTGACCTAGCAAATCATAACTCTTTGAGTTAAGGGCTAATTCCAAAAAGATCGTTCTAGATGTCTTACTATGATGTACTTGGGTAAGGGATTAACATGATGCAAACAAACTACTCGCGGCACTTTGATAAAATAATTGGCCAATCAAAACAGGATTTTCAATCCTTCAACTTTTTCATTTGGAGCTGAAAATAGACCGTTATTGGTCTTATTGTAATCCGCGGTTGAAAAGTGCAAAGTCTTTCGTTTCACACTGAATTCGACATCGTGTATTGGTCTTTAGGAGCGAATTATGTGAACAGGCAATGAACAATGGGAGTAAGGCGACGAACCAGTATACATTCATGCATGAGTAGGGAATGATGACGACTTCTTGACAAGACTCAAGAGTGAGACGCAGCGAGTTGATCAAACGGAGAAGGGTCGGATATCGGATATTCATACTCCGTATATGTCGTACAGAGCAGCCTATTGGGGTAATATGAAGCTTTATATTTTCATCTTAAAGCTAATCGCGGAGAACAAAAGTCGATCTCATACTACCGATCCCGATAATCTAGATACTGTTCAATGTACCTGAGCTACGACCGTTGACATCGGAGCTACTGCTTTTGATGTGGATTCTCACACTAATACTTACTTGATACCTACTTATTACTACTTCGTACTTTCTCTACAGTGTACGGATATCGGCACCAGTTAGTATTTTGGGAATATCAAACACTTAAGAATCAAACTACTAACTTATGGAGAACATTTTCGATCTTGAATTAGTCATCATGGTCTTTACGCAAGGAGTAAGTAAAGATCTTCTCCAGGCTTGCTTATCCAGTGACTACCCGCTCCACGCCGCTCCACAAAATTTCGAATTAGACCCGGCTAGATCTTTCCTAAAGAATCCCTAGACCAAGAAGCGTATCTCGATTCTCCAAGCACAGCTCCTAGAACTTCACCTTAATCACTTGCTACCCGCACTACCCTGAGTTTTCACTATCCTCACGACCTATGGTAATAGGCTTACTATTTACACTATTCATACTGTTTCTCGGCTCACTCACTCCTCTTACTACTTTCACTCTAGATTTCACTGCTCTGAAGTCTGAGCCTTGTAAATTCATTCCTATTTTCTTTTCAATTCTCATTATTGTTGATTTCCAGAGTATATCATTTAGACTTATACCGTTTTTACCTTCCATATCACGGCAAGAGTATCGCATGTCTGCCCTCAACCTAAGTCAAACTCCCCGCCAATGGTTATTTTGATGTCGAAACTCTATGCTCTGGAAATCAATTCAATGCTTTTTGATCAACAGTGTCCACTACGACAGGCCCCAGTGCGGTAACTGCCAGTAATCCGACCGAGACTCATCCAGTCCATTTACCAGTTTCAATGTTTGTTTAAACTTTTTGCATCCAGACTCTCCAGCCCTCTAGACCCTCTATTCGCTCGCTCGTCCCAAGTACAAGCTCTCCCCCCTCATCCATCATCAGAATTCTAGTTAGAATATTTCTAACCTTCTGTCATTGAGCAGGAGTCTAGAATCAGTTCGCGCATAATTCCATACTTCTAATTACCGGGGTTTCCATACCGTCAATTAACTTGTCACTTGCTCATCCATTATTTTCTCGTCGATCAACAGAGAAAGCCCCACTATTGGATGTGGTGCCAATCTCATACGAGTACTTTGGCAACTTTGTGCTCTTTCGAAAACATACCTCTTACCAAGTCCATTGTGTGTTGTCGACAACGACTTTCGGTTCGACCATTTGGCTAAGGCAGGCAACTTGCGAGTGTCCTGACTAAATGCTTGATGCACTCATACCCACACCTGAACAACATAGTGGAATGCCAGAACCACGTTTTCATCGTGAGCGTTCTGAAGGAAAGCCATACGCTTCGAGAATATACAGACCCCAACGTCAAAGGGTTAGACAATTTCCTACCAGGCCCCTGGTAAAAGATCGGGTCCTCAAGAGGACGGGGGAGGAAATGACGGGTGTAATGGAATCGAGGACACAAGCACCACACGATCTTATTGACAGACAAACATTGTGTTTGCCGAATTTCTCCGAGGATTCCATACTGCATAGTGGAGATGAAGGCTTTACAGATATATTGAGTCGATACTTCCCTGCGGCGGAGAGTAACGCTTCGGAACGCCTGGTAAAATTGAAGTCTCAGCTTCGTAAGGCTGACACCTATGACTTCTGGAGAGTACTGATGCAGGAAATGTGCGATATAACAGGAGCTCAATGCGGATTGGTTGCTAAACGAATGTTGGTGGATGATCAGGACACCGCTGTCGAACTTCCGGAACTTGGGGAAGAAGGCTCATGTTTAATGGGTGTTGCTTTCTACACCAAAAATGGGGATGAGGAACCTAACCTTGAAAGAGATTATAAATATACAGCCTTTGGTACACCTTGCGCTTATATGAAGTACGATAAAGTGGTCATTGTACCCGAGAGAATGAAGGAGGTAACACCCAACAATCCAAACATCATGCCGTGGGGCCAATCGGAGGCCTTCGTTGGTGTGCCATTAACTATGGAAGACAAATCATTTGCACACTTTGCATTGATATGGTCTGAGGACGGTGCAAAAAGAAGGAAGCTCAGTTGGACCTTCATAGAAATGTTCATGCATTCTCTTGAAGACTTAATTCTTCAACGTATAGTAGAGGGCCGAGGCTTTGCTAAAGATGGTAACCTTCCGGAGTGCGCTGCAGAAAAGATCATACCTCTTTCTGCTATCACCGCTTCACAGTCACTAAAGCCATATGCTCGAAGCCTATCGCACGAGTTAAGGACGCCTATGCAGGGAGTTGTTGGAATGCTTGATATCATGTATTCAACCGTACTTGATGCTATCGCAAATCAACAGAATGAGCGGGCTCGAGCTGTTTTTGCTGATCTTAAGGCTAATATTGAGATCGTGCAAGGTAAATGAACCCCATCTTTAAGGTTACTTTATCTGATACTCATCTTACACAGAAAGCTCTAGAAGGGCGATAGAAGCAGCCGATAATGTTGTCCACGCATACGATCTCAATATGCAGATGCCTGATGTTCCCTTAACGCCTGAAGATGACGGAACAAAATCTTTTGCACCAAT